ACCTTATGTTCAAAGAAGGAGGTATGCAAGAATTGTCAGTCGTGTCGCATCATCACGACATAAGGTTACATCCATCTCAAGAATGTACCAAAAACACAATACCTTGGTCTTGATTGAAGCCTGCAAACAACAGCCCATTGCCATACGAATTTGTGTGGCTGATATTCATTCTCCTCAGATACCTACTAAATCCAAACGAGAAAACTCACACATTTCTTAACTTTAATAAGAGAACGGGAACAACTTTATAGTCTGCCATCTTGAATTTACGCACCCCACGTGATTGGTCCGACTAGTTCCTTTTAGAAGTATCCCAGAATCCAGTTGCAGTAACAGCAACAAATATGGCGGCCAATGCGAAGTGGAAATCTTGATGTATTAACATTTTAAACCCTTATTTAGAGCTCGTGTGGTTATGAATCCTGGAAGCAGAAAAATATTTCAAGCGAAGCCACCGGATAAGGGAAGCTTCCCTTTAGATCATGATGGTAAGTGGAAATTTTGAGAGAAATGGCGGTGGAGTGTTCATATAATGGCGCACTGAAAATTATAGTGATACCTATAAAATATATGTTATAACAGGTGAATGTAAAGAATACATGAAGAAATATATGAACTGCTTGAAGAAAAACAACAATGACAACCATAAATGCAGAACAGAGTCAAAGGATTACCTTCAGTGTAGGATGGACAGGTACCCCCTGAGATAATTTGGGTAATTTATTGATTGTACGGGGATACCAATATAAATAGATGAATGAATGAGTGGGTCAGTCAGTCAGTGAGTCAGTCAGTATATGAATGAATGAATGAATGAATGAGTGAATGAATGAAAGAATGAATGAATAAAATGTAGGGGGCCCATGTACAGTGTGGGGCCATAAAATATTAATCATCAAATTACCAAACGTGTCAACATTATTTATATACTACATTTCGAAGATTTTAAGAAATCCGTATATAATCACATTTTAACCAGCTTTTGCAAATCAGGCGAGAACAATGGATTTTCTTAACTGGGTAAGGTTTTTTAAAACCTCCACACTGGGTAGTTTATTGAAGGTCTTTGAGTAACATAACTGTATCAATCAATCATCTTCACCTATGTGTAAGAATTTTCCACACAAGGACTACAGTTTCGAGGATTCTGAAAATTACACCTTTCACCTAGCATCCAAGTTCAGCTTTTCATTCTTAACACGATTATGTCTAGACTTGCACTAAGTCTACCCCTTGTTATTAAGGGGTAAAATTATGTCGCACACGAAGTGAGCATTGGATGCAACCTAAGTGAACAGTAAAACAAATCCATGCAACTTTGAAGGTCGTTTGAAATTGAGTCCGAAATAAATTTATTGGGTCAAAATATTTGATAAGACTGGTCCAATGTTTATTAATCTCCTTAAAAAATGGTCCAATAATTTTTTGATTGGACTAACGATTCACACCGGTGTTGTTTTGTAAACTTGCAGAAAACATTCAACTGAAACATCTAAATAAATATTGCACTTAACCTTTAGTATCTTCAAATTTCAAAGGAATTATTTTGATAACTTTACCATCTTGAAACATTGTCAGAGACTCAGTGTCAGTCAGTCAGGTCAGGAGAAATGATGCATTTGTTATGCCAATCCTCTTGTCCTGACTGACTGTCACTGAGTCTCCGAGAATGTACTTCAGCTTAATATTTACTATTTAGATGACATGTTGAGAGTGATTGCTGAGACATATTCTCCTTACATGATACAAGTTAGAAATAGCAGTTACTGTAAAATTCCAAAAATAAGCCCTGGGGCTTTTATTTTTCGAAGGCCCTTTTTGAGGGGCTTATATTTGGAGGGGTGATTTAATGGAGGGTTTTTTGTGTTACTGGTGTGGAGGGGCTTATACATGGAGGGGCTTATTTTCGGAATTTTACGGTAGTTTACTTCAGGTAAGAATAGCAAGAATGGCTGTAAAGAAATATTTTATTTTATTGTTTACTTTGTAGACAACTTATGACAAAGGAAGACTTTCGAAGACTTGGGTATTCTGAGGATTCAAGCTCAAAGGGTGATTCTGCAAATTTGGGAAACTAAAGAACTATGGATTGTCAAGCTGACACTAGCAACTAGAGTTGCATAGTTTCCAATGATGTACGTACCTGCAGCAATGTTCCATTAAGTGCTCCACTTTTCCTTCATAACATTGCACTGATTTATCATTGATAGCGGTATTGTATGGTTGGCTCCATGAGTTGTTGATATGAAGCAAATCCTATTTTTTGACTGTCAACAGTTACAGTTTTCATATGTGATAAACAAAAAATAGCTGAAAGAACTTAAAGAAGGGTTACTTGCATTTGGGTATTTGCATTGTTTTCAGCTATTCCATAAGTACCTTTCTTTCCTTTTCTTTGGTTTTCTATTTTGTTTTTTTTGTATTTATCTGCAACAACTTGGCCAATATCCAGCCATATGGGCCTACATGTAATACTCGGTAATGAGAACTGTAGTCTTTTGTACTTCATATTTTTCTGTTTTACATCCTGTTTTCTACTGTTGTCACACAGGCTTGTTACTAGGTCCATACTCACTCCATTTAACAGCTCTAAGATCACCATTATTTTTCTGCTAATAAAGTCACTATACATGTTAAAGAAAATAAGTCAATAAATTCCTTCGAGACCTTGAATTAAGAGTTTGTGCAACTTACTATGTAAGATACATGTACTCTGTATTAAGAAAGGTAGTCTGTAAATACATAACCCAATATGAGTTTTCTTAGATAAATTAAAGCAGTTGTGCCTGTGTATTTTAACAGGTTGTCATGTTCAGCTTTAGCCGCCTTGACCTTACTGTTACTTTGGCAAAATTTACACCTTTGAAAATACAACTGACCCATCAACACTAAAACATCATAAGTTTCATTTCTTACCCAACGAATCCAATTTATTTAGGTGTCAATATATTTAGCTCAAAAATCATATTACTGAGGGCAAAGGTTTTGTGTTCCCTACTGAAGATGGCATTGCTATGTGGTCATCCTTATCATGCAGATTTCGAGCCATTTGTGGGGCAAAGGCCTTGAGAGTTAGTCTTATAATAATAAATAATAATAATTAACAAATAATATTTATAGAGGGAGCCCAACTCGCCAAGGCGGTTTTCAGTGGGGCGCTCATGCATTAATTTGACTAATTAATTAATTATTACAAAAAAAGTAAAAATAATATGTTTACAAGTAAAAAAAAAAATTTAAAAATTGCTCAAGAAATCAAACCTTTGACCTCCCACTTTGCAGACCAACACTCTGCTAACTTATCTAACAATAAAGAACACTTTTACTGATGAAATGATGTCATTTAACTTTGCTGAACTGGTCCTAGCTCCTGCAAAGTTTTGAACATCTCGTCCTCAAATTTTGCTTTTGAAAGTATGCCAAAGCTTGGAGGAACGTCACTGCTTCACTGGAAACAAAAACAATTGCAGTTCTGTTTGTATTACCAGTGAAGTTTTCTAGGGGTAGACGGGAGAAAATACATAGTACCTTTACAAATAAAAAGAGGGTGAGAGAGAGAAAAAAGAAAGATAATCTTCCTTGTCTTCTCCTCTTCTCTGTTTTCCTCTGAGGTTTTTCGGCCAAGTTTTTTATGACTTTAATTCTTTTTCTTTAATACTGGTGACCAGAATAACACCAACAACAACCTTTATTATTACATCCAACTAGAGAATTCTACATTTTTTGATCACCAAGGGAAAGAAAAGAAGAAATTGTTACAGTCGATACATTATGATAGCAAGGATGTCTAGGAGCTAAATTAACAAACATTATTTTTCGTACTAGCGCCTAGCTATAAAATGATATTTTTAGCACAGTGGTGACAGGTAAAATAGTAGCAAAGAACAAAACAACAACAAATTAAGTAAATAAATAGCACACACACATTACACACTACATGGAGAAAAGGACAAATATGGTCAACTTTCAAATCGACGAATTTTGTGTTAGTAAGCGTGGGAAGGAGAAATTTGGGAGGTCTTTGAAATGATGGGGAAGATCTTTCCAGAGGTCAACAGCTATAGATTGGAAGAAGAGTGGCTCAAAAAGGATATGTGAATAGTTTTTTAGAGTTTCTTGGCATTCTTTATCTCATACAAACTACTACTGTAATCTAACAGAACAATTATTTCCTTATGCAATATATGATTCATAGTTGCTAAGGTTCAATAAATTTGCAGTTTCCTTCTCAGAAGGATGGAACGATAAAATGCAGGTCGGTTTTTATTCCCTGGCAAATATGACACAGAATAAAACAGTATTTACCACAAAAGTCCAATCCCAATATTTATCACAGTTTATGCATAATATATTACAACACAATATGTTATCCTCTTTTCACAGTATGAATATTACAAGCACTTGAAAGGATAATCTTTAATATAGGTAAACATGTGCTATAGTGAACTTTCATGAGTGTGGAACATAAGGTAGACACACTTTATACCAGTCACACACTTTCATTATCATCATCATCAGCAGCATAAAAATAATGTACATCACTGTAAAAACAATATGGTTTAAACAAAGGGTAAAACACTCCTGAGTGGTGTCCTGTTCATTTCACTACACTGTACATGCATTGACGTGCCAATATTATCTCATTAAGTAAAGGGCTTTTAAAGCCTATTTTTTTTAAAAAAATACTAATGACTGGTGAAATTGAATATAAGGTCTGTGCTAAGTGATGTTTGATTATGGTAAAATTGTGTTTTTTTGGGCATACTTAGGTTTCTGTAAGCCTGGAATAGGCCCTTTGCAGCTAGCCATTCACATGGTACAAAACTGCCACACCAGCAGTCGCACTAGGACAAGACAAATAAAAGGCATACACAATTTTAAATGGTAATTTCCTTTGTTTGTCTTGTCCCAGTATGACTTTTGCTTTCCAGCATGGCGGTTTTGTACCACATGAACGACCACCAGATCATCATCATCATCAAAGTCATTAAAGCACTATCAGCATTTATCAATGCACAGACCTACCATACTGTGTTTATGAGGTGTACTGTGCATTTTTAAGGCTATAATCAGAATACCCTAACTAAATTGAAAGCAGATGACAGTGAAAAACTCCAAGAGTTTATACTATATTCCTCCACTTTCCAGTTAATTAATACATCAAAAATAATAAGGAAATAATTTACAGGAAAAAAGTGAAAAATGCTGGATAGCACTGTCAATCAGATAAATCACTATCCAGTGGATAAAAATTAGCTAAAGCAATACTGCACTGGACAGAGATTTATCAGATGGATAACATTATCCACCTTTTGAGCAACTGGGGCCAGATGAGGAGATAATACTTCCCAACCTGGAAATAATACCTTAATGTATAGACTAAAGAAAATGCCTGATTGTCATATAATTTACGGTGGTCCAAATTGATTATAGTAAAACAAAATTGTCAATGTTAATGTGCATATGTGCATATAATGCCCTTCGAATGAATGTGCTAAGTTTTCACCTAAACTTTTTAGTATAAAAATGTGGAAATTTTACAATACAAGAGAAAAGACCTGCTTTGACAGGCTATTTGCTATCTTATTAAAACCTAAAACTTGTCTTTGCATCAATTGCATTCCAAACATAATGGTCCTGCAGTCCTGTTATTTAAGATATGTAAATCCGTAATTTTGACAAAGGGCAGCAGACAACGATACTTACCGTTCCTGCTTGTACCTAAACTTTGAACTTTTGTAACCCGGTTCAAAAGGTTGAACGTTACGTGGTTTTTTTTTAAAATACCAATGTGTTCCCTGATGATATTTGTCTAATATCTTCTTCAAAAATAAACAGGAGTATTTTTTTGAATGGGTAAAGGTTTTAAGTAATGACTGCACAGTAGCACTGAATTGACCTAAAACAGCAAATATCGTAAAATTCTGAAAATAAGCCCCAGGGCATATATATTTTTCAAAGGCCCTTTTTGAGGGGCTTATATTCGGAGGGGCTTATCTACTAAGAGAAATTTGAATTTCAAAATCGATTGAGCTAGAATTATAGTTGGAAGTAAATTTACCGTTTCTGCTTTGTTTTACTATGTATTTGAGGGCTATTTTCCAAGTACAAGCCCCCTGGGGGCTCATATTTGGAGAGGCGATTTAACGGAGGGTTTTTTGCATTTACTTACAGGTTTGGGGGGCTTATATTTGGAGGGGCTTATTTTCAGAATTTTACGGCATATCCTCACTAGATAGCCCTTTTTTAACTGGACACCTACTGTTTGGTTGGTCTCTTCTACTCTTCAGTTACGTTTGACTCAATGTTAAGTAAGGCTTACAAGCACTGGTCACAGAGTCTATCCTTAGGAGAGCTGATTGCATATGCTCCTTATATAAATTCAATTCCTTCAAACTTATTGTCACCAATATGGGTCTCAGGCATGATCATTTTTCCAGAAATATCATAAGCAACAATGTAAGAACGAATAGTTCCCCTGTCTTCTTCTGTCTTGAGAGCCACAAATAATTTATCATCAGTTCCTGGAATAAACTTGAAAGATGAAAATCCGTGAGTCAAATTAAGTTCACCAATGGTGCGCACATGGAAATTTGTGAAGTGCTCATCACATGATATCATGACGTTGGTTGCACGATGTTCATCATCTTTTTCATTGTAAGACTCATGGCTTGCTCTCCTTGGTAAGAAAAACCACTTCTTATGTTTATCACTCCAGTTTGCTGCCTCATGGATAATATACCCCGGGTACTTGATACCAAGGGCCCCTCTCAAAGCCTCATATCTGGACACCCAATCATGATGCACCACATCACCATTAGGCCCTATACTTTTAACCCATTGTGGGTTATGATTTTGGAAAACTCCTTCTGTTGTTGTCCATTCTTTTCCGAGGCCTCCGACATAGAGAGTCTTCCCTTTAACTACCATCCATTCCGCTTTAAAACCCTTCTCCTCCGTTCCATCGCCGTCCGGTAAAATTACCCAAGCTACTGTACCCTTGTCTTTAATTTCAAACACAACTCCAGTGCGATCATCAACGGCATACAATTTTCCATTAAAAACTATTAGTTCTGACAGCTCCATCCCTCTTCCTTTCTGAGACAAAGTAGAGGATAGTACTACAATATCTTTATCCCATTCCACAGTTACCTGACCATTCTTCTTCAGGGTCAAGTAGCCCCGTTTGTAATGGCTTGTCCACGTGTTCTTCTTTGAAGTCGATTTGGAGTTTTCATCAAGATCCGCTATAATTCCAATTCTAAACCTCCTTCCGTCGGACGTAACTTCTGGACGACTAAGTGGATATGTGCTGTTGTATTTCCTTTCACAAGCGGTTCTGTGGTAATAGTCGATGCTTTCACTGTTGATTGCAGTAGCTTCATAGTCGGGATTGCCAGAGAACCACCAGTATAAAAGCGCAACACTGAAGCTTAAAAGAACTCCTATAAAAGCACATTTTCGAATCACCTGTTGTAAATCGCTGGGAGTGGAATTTCG